GAGAGATATGTAAACACCTCTATATAAGGTGGGTTTAGTCCACTTGTAGAGGTGTGCTTGAAAGATGTAAAAGTTGAGTGTGTAAGTGTGTGTTATTTATGTAGTCTATATCTAGATCCTTTTTGTAACACCATATACAATCAATACATCTCTTGATCACTCAAATCACCATGTTCAATTGTACAAACTTTAATTCCGCATGTCAAACAATGTTCTTTGTCACTACACAGATTTTAACATGTTTAATAAATATTGTGTACATATTTACTTATAAAATGAGGTTCTTAAAGTAGTTTATCTTTTATGGTTCTTATTTGAACCCCCCCCCCCCTCTCTCTCTCTCTCTCTATATATATATATATATATATATATATATATATATATATATATATATATATATAAGGAAAAGTTCAATACAGAACCATTATTAATCAATAAATCAATAAAAAGAGTCGAAATTTAAAGCAATCAACGACAAAATGAATGGTTGTAGACTTTTACAATGGATAAACATACACTGGATTATAACAAAATCCACTTCCTTTTTTTTTAGTTTAATTTTTTTAAGCCATTTCTTTATCAAAAAAAAAAAAAAAAAAAACAACGAACATACCATTGTTCGTGATTTTCCATTCTCTTTACATAGATATCCATATTGATATATAAAAAATGATTTTTTTTTTCTTTCAAAAAACCCACTTCATTTCTTTTGTTTGTTGAAAAGTTAAGGTCTATTTTTTGTAGAAAAAAATTAATAAATATATCAAAATTCATTACTTTTGATACTTTTTAAATATAGATTCATATTAATGTTAAAAAAAATCAAAATTTTAGTTCAGATTCACGTTGTGAATATGTTCAGATCAAGGCCGGCCCAAGGGGTCTTCAAGAGGTTCCCTTGAACAGGCCCATCATCTATTAGGGGCCCATATCTTTATCTGTATTATAGTATTCTATTGGCCCAAATCCTTATTTAGGTTAATCAAGTTCACGTCTTCATTCAGGAAATTAGAACTCGACACTAACATCTTTGAATTAAAATTAGCAACCGAGAAGTTGAAGGAAACGATTCACATCCTAGGTAATTGTCTTCAAACGATTCATTCAAGATTTCAATCCTAATCCATAATGTCTACTCTTCTTGATAGTCCCGCAGCAACGATTCACAATTTCACATTATACTCTTCTTGTTTTCAAATTGTTTGTATACGAGCCTTAAATAATCAAGCAGTAACACAATTCACAATTTAATATTCTACTCTTCTTGGTTGTCTTTGAGATTCCTGTTTCGTGGTTTGGTTAATTAGTGTACTCAAATGATTTCAAATCAATACACATTTGCAACTTATATCATATTTTAATCTTAAGTTTTGTGTGTGTATTTGTTGTCACAGTAAAACATATTGTGTTTACAACTTAACTGTGATAGTAGAAATACTACTTACCTATTCCTCTTGACATGAGTATCTCTATATTAAATGGAATTTGAAATGATGGATTTGTTGTAAGTTGTTTGAAGTTATTTACTTTAATGCATATCATTCTGCTTTTTATATTAATGGTTAATGTTGTGAAGATGATTTAACCAAACAAATGGGCGAGACTAGGAGTTAGATTACCACAGTCAAAAAAGCTCTAAGCCCTTATGAATCGAAAAAGAAGAAAGAGTTCTGATTTCATTTTCTATGTTTCCAAGTTCATTTTTTTTTGCATACATGTTGTTAGATGAAATGTCGATGATGTACAATACGACATAAATCCCATAAACACACTCCAACGAAATCTTGGTTTGGGAAGCAATGGAGTTTGGAGAGTTTTTTCACAAACAGAAGACACATTAGCCACTCGTTCTCCTCCCACGATGGGGAAAAACTGACTGAAGCCGAAAATGAAAAGTCTAAACACACTTATTAGAAGGATGTTTAACACACTTATTAGAAGGATGTTTCATTTTTCAAGTAAATGAAAAGTATATTTCTTGTGTAATATTTTTGAAAGAAATTTGTTATAGAAGTACATTGGATTAAATAAATAATTAGAATTTTATTTTTATATTTTTAAGGATTTGTAAAATTTAGGGCCTATTTTTACTAAAATGCACAGGGCCACCGAAATCTCGGGGCCGGCCCTGGTTCAGATTCACATTGTGAACCTACTCAGATTCACAGTCTGAATAATAGTATGTTAGATTCACAATGTGAATAAATAATTTTTTTGATTTTATAAAACTAGTTTATGAGTAATGAAAACGTTAAAATATTATAAAATTAAATGGTATATATTTTGATTCATATGTAAATTTCACTAAGTTAATTTGCAAATGATCAAAGAGTTAAAATAGTAAGTCAAATTCACATTGTAAATGTTACAAATTAAAATATTTACAGTATAAATATTAACTAATTGAGTTTTTTCACATTATGAATATTACGAATTAAAATATTTATAGTGTAGATTCACAGTATGAATCTCCACTGATCAAATTTTTTTTAATCATTATTGATGTTTATATCAACATAGACTTGTATGGAAAGAGAACGGAAAATCGTGAACAACGGTATATTTGGTTTCTTTTCGATAAAAATGTTGCCTAAAAAAATTTAAACGAAAAAAAGAGGTGAGTTTTTTAGTAAGTAGGTGAATTTTTTGGTATAATCTGGTGTGTATGCATCCAATGTATAAGTTTACATCTATTTTCTTGACTATTGATCATTATCATTTCCGACGTTCACGGTCGGTGTCTTCGTTCCTTATTAATTATGGTTTTCTATTGAACCTATATATATTTATATATATATATATATATATATATATATATATATATATATATATATATATATATATATATATATAGACACACACATACGGGCTAATTAAACAAATTATATATCAAAGTGTAAACAATAAATTTTTATTAAAATAAAATTTTGAAATAATGAATGAAAAACATCTTAATTGTATTTTATTATCATATTTATTAAATTTAATACTTTACATATATAAGTATAAGTCTTATGTGGCTTTAATTTTAAATTTTGAAAAAAATCTAGAAAATTGACATATGGATATTATTTTATTTTAAAAGTATTAGAAAATAACAAGTGAAAAAATTTATGAGAGATTGACATGTGACAAGATTTATCTTTATTTATTATAGTAAAAGATATATATATATATATATATATATATATATATATATATATATATATATATATATTTGGGATAGAGAATGTACATTATAGTCATACCTAATCTTACGGACTAAACCTCTAAAATGTGTTGTTTTACCTTAATAATTATACCCCGTTTGGTTTTCACTTGGTAAATATATCATCCCCGATAATACTTATTTCCTACATTATCGTTTTATCATCCATGCTTTCTTATTTTCATCATTGTTTATTACTTCACCCCAATGAACATTACTATTTTCCACTGTCATGAAGGTCAACGATATTTAATATTTTTGTTTCCCTATAACAATTATTGTATCAGTCTTGAATATGGACCTTCAAGTGTTAATCGTGAATCCTCTAATTATAATCTTTAGATAATAAAGGGAAATATTTTCATGAGGTTTAATATCTAAGCTTAGATTGGTTGTAATTTATATTTATTTTTCATATATATATATATATATATATATATATATATATATATATATATATATATATATATATATATATATATATAATTCTCCATATCTTTTGAACTCTTTAAATTTTAGATAAAAATAAATAGATGATAAGACTAGAGGGAGCAGGGTGCGGTTTCAGCTTATGTGGCACTGAAACACAGCCCCCTCCATGCGGTTTCGAAGTGCGGTTTGGGGAGTGTGGCAAGAATCGGGCACACTCCGTTTCTCTCTCTCTTCCTCGATCTCTCTATCTCTCTCTTCTCTCCATTTAATATCATCCCTTGGGTGTGATAAAAAAGTGTGGTGTGGTAAAAGAAGGGAGTGTGACACCACTCCCTCCAGCCTAATTCCTACCTCCTAGAAAAAGAAAATGACATGATGAAATACAAATTGATCATGATTTAAACTCAAATTCTTAGAATATTGAACCCCTTTTATTTTGTAAAATAAATTTCATCTCCGTGTTAAATTTTAACATTCAGAATCATTCATCTTTAATCCTCGAATTGTTATTTATCTATGATTCAAATTCTCATAAACTAACACAATTTGCATTAAAATCAAAGGATCCCCACATCCATTGGAGTCTGATAGAAAGAGAATGTTATAGGAATAATATTGGTGCCATCAACTCTAAAAAGAAAGAGGCGAATGTTGCGAGAATGAAGAAATTTTAAATTCTCTTCAAGAGGACATCAAATTAATCATTAATGAAATCGATTAGTAACACGAACCACATATTGATTAAGGAATAAGGACTTACATGACATATTGAAGCTGCATTGTATCACGAAATGGAATCTCTAGGCTGAGGGAACCCAGGTCTATATATTTTGATCTTTGATATGGTCATCTGGATCCAAAACTGGAAGCAATCAGAGGTGATTTTGATTAATCGTCTCCATAGTTTCAACTATGGACTCGATGAAGAGACTTTTGTACCTTAACCTATGTCTTTGTGCCTCCAAGTCCATCCATGGCGAGCACCATGGAGGAGTTACAGTAGGTTATATATGAAGCTTCAATTTGGGTGGAATACGGTGTAGCATTGCCTGAACGGGTAACTTTCAGAGCTTCAATTTGTTCAAATTGGAATGCAATTTCCGTCCATCTTGACCAAATTGCGTGTTATACAACCCAATTGGCTATTACCTCGTTAAATTGCATTTAATATATTTGTAACGTCAACGCATAACTTAATGAGATAGGATTGTTTGACTTATACAAACAGTTACGTGCAGTCTCCAACCATTTCCAAATTCATACTGATTATTCCCATTATAAATATGTATTATATCTATGAAACTTAAACCACACCTCAAATTGATCTATCAATCTTTACAACAACAAGTACATGTTTAATATGAAAACATTGTTACTACTTCTATTATCCACATTCTCCCTTTCAATGGGACAACCATCTCCAACTCAAGTTCGAGACCTTGATGGGAACTTGGTACGTTCTGGTACAGAGTACTACATCTTGCCTGTGATCCGAGGAATGGGTGGTGGCCTTATACTGGCCTCCACGAGAAATGATTCATGTCCGCTTGACGTTGTCCAAGCCAACAAAGAAGTCTATAATGGCATGCCATTGACATTCATACCAGTGAACCCAAAGAAAAGTGTCATTCGGGAATCAACAGATCTCAACATTATATTCTAGGCTACATCAACCTGTATTCATTCGAATGTATGGATGCTTGAGGACTACGATGGACAACTAATCGTAACAAGTCATGGAGTGGCGGGAAACCCTGGCCAGGAAACCATCAATAACTGGTTTAAGATAGAGACGTATGAGGATCATTATAAACTTGTGTTCTGCCCGACCGTATGCAATATTTGCAGGCCCGTTTGTGGAAATATTGGTGTTGTGATTGCTAAAAATGGAAGTAAACGTTTGGCTATTAGTGAAGTGCCTTTTAAGATTATGTTTAAGAAGGCATAAAAACTTTTATTTTTTATTTTCACAATAAATGGTTTTACTTTGATATACGAATCTTTGAATTATATGCAGGATAAACGACCATGTACCATTACATTATATAAATAATTATTTAACATTTGTTCTTTAAGGTTTTATGCAACAATATGATAGGTTTGATTGAACTTTTAAACTTAAAGTATTTCTTAGTATATAAAGTACAAATTAATTATATTTATATTATACAAAAGAAAGCAATAACTTGAGACGACAATTGAAATCATACATATATCTCATTAAATTCTTGTCAAATTATAAATCCATCTCATTTAAATAATTAGAATAGTGGTAGTTGTTCTGCGTTAGGTGATTTCGTTAATTCTATATTTTAGATGGTATGTATAATTACTTGTGTAAGTTATACAGTTGAGATATATGAATACAAAACAATTTAAAATATACAAAAGCAGAAACCTAGTTATTAAAACAAATAATAAATAATTACACAATAACAACCAAAATGAGAGAAATGGACCAAAATTGTAATGTTCTAACTTAAAAACTAAAGCGAGCAAATATAAAATTAATTCATTTACTAATTTTAGAACTAAAGTTAGGGTTTTTTTCGAAATTACTGGCTTTAAGTATGTCAAATTTTTCCATATGATGATTTTTGTTCGTTAATGACCAAAGTTTGCCAAGTTTATTTTATTTCATTTTATTTTGGTCCTTATTACCTATAAGTTTCCAACATGTCATCAACATATATATATATATATATATATATATATATATATATATATATATATATATATATATATATATATATATATATATATATATATATATATATATATATATATATATATATATATATATATATATATATATATAGTAAGAGGACGGTGTAAGATGATTTTAACTTCTTTAGGTAGCAACAATGATCACTCTCACATCTCATGTACCTATTCATCTTCATGAAATTATCAAACTTCAAGTACCACTTCCTTGGAGCTTGCTTAAACCTATAAATTTTTTCTCCAACATGCATACTAAGTTTTCTTTTCCATCTATCTAAAATTTTTATGATTGTGCGATGTATATATCTTAATCAAAGTCACCATTCAATATATTTTTTCTTCACATCCAATTACTTTAGATGTAAATCTTCCGTAATGATAATTCCAAGAACTATTTTAATTTTGGTCATCTTCATAATCGGTGAGAAAATTCCATTGCAGTCGGTTCTTGCCTTCTATTGGGACCCTTTACTACAAAAAACGGTACCCTATGTCATCCAAAAACCATAGCCAATAAAAAATCATTTCTTTCTCTTTGTATATAACTTGTCTTTATTAACGTCGTTAACTCTAATGTAAGATATATATCTGAAAACGTTTTGGTGTGTGAGGGATATTTAATGACCTTGCCATTCCTTTTCTAAAATTCTTTTTGGTGGCATTTATTGATCAAATTAAGAGACACTGATAATACAGTTAAACGAATTGTTATCAACATTACAGTGGTACTATGGTTAAACGAATTGTTATCAACGTTACATTATCATTCTTTCTAGGTAAGTACAGTTTTGTAACATCCATAAAAATCATGCTAAATTTAAACTTTTTAAAAACATTTCAAAACCATTAAATATTACAAAACTTGTTTTCAAAATAGTGTAATATCATAGTATCCCATAAATAAAGTCATAAATGTGAGGAGTTGTACGATCACACATTTGCCTTCCCTCGATCATCTGAGCTACCTGTTAGACGCATTTTATATGCATCTTTGAGCACGATTTCCTTGGTATTTGTCATAAAATGCTAACTAACTTCCGATTATTATTATGTATTGTGTGTTTCGTAATTATTTTGTAGAATGTCCGTACTGCTCACGTTTTTTTATGATTTTTTGGGTAATTTGGATCGCATGGATGAATACATGCGTCTGGGATGCGTTAATGGATGCTTTGGAGCTTAACTGGAGTCTACACCAAGGAAGGATGCCGAGGAATGATCATGAACTACTTGGTAGGTGGAACGCCGATCAAAAGATGCGAAAAATGACAACATGCGATCGCATGTTTTCCCTATGAGATCGCAGGTTGGCTCGTAGCTTCGCTTCGTGGTTTTTTCGTGCCAAAAATTCATCAGGCTGAGAAAAATAGATACATGTGATCGCAGGTTGGCCAAAATGCATCGAAATGGTAACGTACTTCATTTAAAGGGCTCGTGATGCATTTTCCGCAATACATGCGATCGCAGGTTGTCCCTATGCGATCGCATGCTCACCCTTTTTACAGTTGGACGTATAAATAGAGCCACAGATTTGTCTAGTAACCCTAATTGACGATTCATGGCGATTCTAAGGTGATTTTCAGAGGGTTTCAAGTGAAGAACGCAGATCTAAAGGAGACGAATCAATTTCCTGTCATTGTTTAGTAAGATTTATCATTTAGACTCTATTTTCTACTGTTTGTAATCCGTTATTGGCCATGTCAGGCTAAAAACTCAGATTTCAGTTTCTCAAGATATAACATTTTCGTATGATTAATCATTAGGCACTATGTTTGACTGTGATTACTGTTTAGTTTGATTAATTTTGTGTTTAAATGAGTGTTTGATTTTGATTTCACTTTCTGTTGACCACTTAAATTGTTTGTGAATCATTCTAGTCATCTAATTGCTTAGATCTGTAATTTTCTAGATTAATTGGTAAAAAGTGACATATATTAGATTAATTCTGTGTTTAGGGTTAACCTTAATACGGATTGATCAAACAAGTTTTTACGCCTCCGAGCTTATGAGAGGTATTGGACTTTACTGGGAAATTACACTGTGTTTAATGCAAATTTTCTTTGTTAAGCAAGAGCTTGTTTGGTTAATTTGGTAAAAAGTTAGGTTTAATTCAAAGAACTTATTTTGATTAAATAATTTTTGTAATAGAGGTCATTAGAGCTTGTTAATAAACTTCAGTACCCGTTTGAACAAGTGCATAATCAAATATTATGTTGAAGGTTAGTTATATGATCAGGGGAGTCACCGCGAAACTAGAATTGCTTTCTCTTATTTAAATTTTTACTACTTTTAAATTCAGTTAATCTTTTATCATTTTTGATTCTTTTTAGTTTAAATTTTCAGAAATACCCCCCCCCCCCCCCTTTATGTTTTATTCACTTGTCAAAATTTAGATCGTGCCTTACGCAAAGAGGCAAATACTTTTAGGACGTGTCCCTGAGGATCCGATCCTACATACTATTACTACCTGTTAGTGCAAAAGAGTAGTTTTATTTATATTTTTATTTGTTTAAATCGTGCACGACAACGGTTTTAACAGTACCTAAAACCAAAACTAAAACTGTATGCCCAAAGCTTAGTGAGTTCCTCCAAAATACTGATACACAACAAATATCACATATACAAATAACCTCATGTAATGGGTCCACAACTCTACAAAATGGATTACCGCTGGGCCTATAGTGTGATTGGCTTGCCTTCCGGGCTCACTACTCACATCTGGCTTGCCACCGAGCCCACAATACGAGTCTGATATGCCCTTCCCGACATCAACTCGTATATGGAATGCTCCTGAGTCCTTAGTATGAGTCTGGCATGCCCTGCATGGCCCTCAGCTCATATCTTAAATACTCTAGGATTTGTTGGCTACCGCACGGAGCAGCACAACCTCAAACCATTCCACATAACATGTTGACATATGACATAACTAATGCACATACAAATAATCAAATAGTAACACAGGTAGTCCTACAGATCTACCAAGCTGGCATAGCATGCATAACTAACTCACACTCAACATATCACCAACTACTAGGATATCAGATCTAATAGGTTGGCATTAGTGCCTTCGACCCCTAAGTATAGTGAGGATAACTCACCCCGCATCTGTCGAACTGAAGTGATAAGATCAAACTATCGAATCACAGCTACGAACTCCACCACCTATATTTACCATAAAACCATTCCATAAATTTCCAATTTACTAAAATACCCCGGAAGTCAACTAGTCCATCCTTAGTCAAAGTTAAGGTCAACGCTTAAAGTCGATAGTCCTTGTTGACCCAACTCGTTGAGTGCAGCTTATTGAATTATCGAGTCCTTCCAAAACTCGAGAAGTCGTGAAAACCCCCAGTTGACTCGTCGAGTCCATGAGTGTTCACCAATTTAGAAAACCCTAACTGACTCGTCGGGTCGTCTTGCAGACTCACCGAGTTCATGTAGAGCATTCAACGACTAATCTTCATCGGGCTTGCCGAGTTGGCCATGCAACTCGTCGAGTTCCTTTAGTCCTTTCTCCATTCATATGATTTTAGGCCACCCCAAAGCTCCATATTGGAGATCTAAGCTCCTATGGCATACTTCCTACATAAAGTTGCAAACTTTACGTACATGCAAGGTGTTAAAGCCAAAATCAAGCTAAAGAAGAAGTTTTAGGTGGGGAAAAGGCATTATCTTGCTAAAGGTCGATGCTTTATGATTATAAGGACCGAGATGAGCCTATATCTGAAGTTGCAACTTCTAATCATGCTCAATACCAAAAATGAATCACCAGTCATGCTAAAATAGCCCTAATCTCAAGCATGATGAGATCTAGCTAGAAAGGAGCTCAAGGTAACGACTTGTTACCTTCAAGTGATGCTAAAAGTGGAGTAGAGTTTGGATCTTCAACCATTCCTTGCTCCAAGCTTCTTGATCTTCAAGCTCTTTCATTAAGATCCA